CTTTAAGAATGGGATAGGACGGAACAATTTTCCTTTAACACTGGCTTACATATCTGATGGTAGACAACAGTTAACTGACAGGTTTCAATTTCCTAATTTTTCTAGCAATTCAGAAATCTAAAGATTAAAAGAGATTATATTATAATTATCAAATAATACATCAAATGGTTCTTTCCAGTTGGAAACCTTAAAAATTTTTTTTTTTAAATGTTAAAATAGCTATCAGTCTCACAGATGCCCGCTAAAAGAATGTAACTCCTTACATTATCAAGAGCTAAGATCCGAGCTGTTTTCTTTCTTAACTAATTAAAAAGTTGAGATACATATTCTCCCTCAAAACCCCATGCCTCTCCCACCCTACCCCCCAAAATAAACCAGCCAGAAATAAGATCACCCTTACAAATCTTTTACGTAGTTTTCTTCTAAAATCTGTCATTTTCTACCTTGTGTCATAATGTCTATGATCTTCGGCTGGGCATGGTGGCTCATGCCTGTAATCCCAGCACTTTGGGAGGAAAAAGCAGGCGATAACCTGAGCTCAGGAGTTCAAGACCAGCCTGGCCAACATGGAGAAACATCATTTCTACTAAAACTACAAAAATTAGCTGGGCATGGTGGCAGGCACCTGTAATCCTAGTTACTCTCAGGAGGCTGAGGCAGGAGAATCACTTGAACGAGGGAGGCGGAGGTTGCAGTGAGCTGAGATTATGCCACTGCACTCCAGCCTGGGTGACAGAGCTAGACTCTGTCTCAAATAATAAGAAAAATAATAATGTCTATACTCTTTTAATCATACTAGATTTCCAAACCACTGAAGGCAGGGTCAATTATACTGCATCTTTCTAGGTATCTCCCATAGTATAGTAAATAGTCTTGTTCAATAATCTGAACTTTTTGCAAACTCTATCAGCTAAAAAGAATTAAGGTTTGGTAATTCTTTGTAACCAGGTTTAAAACAAACAAACCTCTAACTATCAGAGAATCAGGGGGGTGGATGGAGGATAGAGGAGTGCACACCAGTTGTTTGCTGTCAGCTAAGCACAAGCCAGACCAAAGAACCTTTTCTCGCCTTTCCCCTTCAAAAGCTAAATTTTATCCAAGTCAGTATCAGTGTCCCTTAGTTAAGGACAGTCTGCTTAACAGGAGCTGAAGAGGCTGGTGTAATCTAGGAGGAGGTTTTCATAGTAGTCTGCAAGCAAGTACAAAAGGAAAAAAATCAAAATTTATCCCATATGCTACTGATCAGGTCAAAAGCCAAAGAAAACCCTAAAACTTGGACTGTTAAGAAAGAGTTCTATAAAATTCATGGAATCCAAGTATTTTTGGGGTTTGGTTTTGTTTAAGACAGGTGTCACTCTGTCACCGAGGCTGGTCTTAGAACTGCTGGGTTCAAGTGATCCTCCCACCTCAGCCTCCCAAATAGCTAGGACTACGGTGCGCTCCACCCCATCTGGCTAATTAAAAAAAAAAAAAAAAAAATCATAAAGAGGTCTCACTCTGTTGCCCAAGCTGGTCCTGAACTTGTGAGATCAAACCATTCTCCCACCTCGACCTCTCAAAGTTTACACTGAATTCGATCTATACCAGATAAAACTCACATTAGTATGACTTCCCTGCAAACTCTGCAAATGCATCCATAACAACTGGCCCCCACTGGTGAAAAGATGAGTATGACCTCTGATGTATATCAGATGTTAAGCTTTCTGACATGCTCCAAGTAATGTACCTGACTTGTAGGTAATAGCAGAGCCCATACTAGAGGCAAAATGGCAGAGCAGATGATCATTCAAGACAACTCGGTTTTAAAGACTGAAAAGGACATATTTGCAAACACATGGGAAAAGATTTAGAGGATCATACAGTGCTGTTAACAGTGATACCTTTCAGTCAAGGGTATACAAGTAGCTGTGCTCCCCAGATTCCTCTGGGGAGGAACGTGAGCTAGAAGTGGAAGTATGTAAAGGGGTTGTCACTTATTATACATACATTGTATTGTTTTAACATTTTACAAGTATCGATTTACTTCTGTAATTTTAAAAATAAGAGTCCCAGTTTCCTGGGAGGTTGAGGCAGGAGAATCGCTTGAACTCGGGAGGCGGAGGCTGCAGTGAGTCGAGAATGTTCCACTGCACTTCAGCCTGACGACAGAGCGAGACTCCACCTCAAAAAAAAAAAAAAAAAAGAGATTTTGAAATGTAATTCCATTTTTTAAAGAGACTGAATGGACCCACATGGAATTCAAACAAAAAATAGGGGCCATTTTGCAGAAGTCTATTAGAAAAACCAACATATCAAACAGAAATAATACAAGTATCTTATCCTGCAAGATAAAAGGGAATACTGAGAATATTACAAAAATGCCCACAGCAACTGCAACCCATTACTCACTATTCACTACTTTGATTATATAGTATTAGTCACCAGAGGGAGTTTGAGGGTTCCCTTCCAAAATTATATCTTGTGTAACAACTGCCTGTGCAGTCTTAACCTCATTAAAAAGGTTTACGACAATCCAGTCCTAAAAAATGTTGATTTTGCACCAACAGAACATTGTCTTTGATTTTTTCATGAGAAACAACTACATACACATACACACACACACACACACACACACACAAACAAACACTTTACATTTCACTGGGGTTCATGTTTTATTTCCTCAAAAGAAAGGTTTCCCAGCCTGAAAAGCAAACTAACCTGGACAATCAAGTCTACTAGCATTTTAAGGGAATGTTCATATCCTCCAATTGTCTGTCATGAAACTTTCGGGTTAAGTAAAATTTTATACACCTATGACTCCTGAAAAACAGAGAAGTGGGAAACACCAACTACACTCTTAAAGCAGCATAATCCAGCCACGATGCCAAATATAAACAGTCATTATGTTTTAGAAAGGCGAGATATAACATCTTTAAAAGATAAATGTCTAAGATCTTGGCATCTTAAAAATTAAAGTGTAATAGCCATAAAATGTATCCCAAACTTTAGTTGATTTTCCTAAAAAATATTAAAAACAATCATATTGAAAATGACCCAAATCACCATAAATTAGGCAATAAAAATCACATAAATTATTTGGAGGAGGAGGATTTTTGTTTAATCTAGTTTATGGGTCCATAAAGACACAAGATTTGAAAACATGAAGACATACACATCGTACATCTCATTTCCCACCATTCCCTTAGACTATTTCTCCCTCTCCCCCATTGTTGTTTTCTAGATCCTCCCAGAATTCTTTTATATAAAGAACAAACATAAATTTGTATTACACCTCGCCCTTAAAACAACACACTATTCACAATGTACTACTACACCTTGCTTTTTTCATTCCTAACACATTTTTGAGATCTTTCCATGTCAGAACACAGAAAGCTTCCTCATTCTTTTTTCATAACTGATTATGCCTAGCTCTAGCACATTTTCAGTCCGCTTTCTTCAGGCGAACCTTTAAAGATGTTCTATTCAGGCAACCACTTAACACTTGAATTAATTTCTTTCCCCCAAGATTTGAAAACAACCAGATTTGAGGTGTCCCAAGGGCAAGTTTCAGAGAAAGCAACTCATTATCTAAATTACATCCTTTTAAGAATGTTTAACATCAAACAGGTAAAGGGGAATATTGCACAATTTTCTCCTCTAATCACTTAAACCAGAATGCAGTCTTCACAGCGAAATTACTTTTGATTTGGGGGATCAGGTATCAACAACGACTGTAAAAGTTTCTTCTTGTGCTTTTCTTCCAGTGTAAAAATTTATTTTTTATTTTTTAAAGAAAGCTAAAAAGCCTTAAAGTCATATAGCATGGCATTCTAATTGCATGAAACCACAACCTGATTTGATCTTTCATCTGCCAGGTCAGAGACTGAGGCTTTTATCTTGCAGAATTAGGCTCACCTACCATCAACAAAATGACTTCTACACAGCGACAAACACTTTCAAAGAATATAAACTCTGCGGCGCTGCGTGTAGGAAATTACACTCCAGGGGCCAGAGCGCCAGGGCCAACTCCAAAAAACCCAGCTTCGCGGGCGGAAAGAAATCTACAAACGCCAGCGGCAGTGACTGGGAGCGGGAAGCGCCGGTGCAGGGAAGAAGAGAAACCGAGCGCCTCGCCGCCAACCCTCGAACCCGCGCGGTCGCTGGAGTCAGACGCTCGGAGCCGCGCGCTGCCCAGGAACGGAACTCCGGAACCACGACCACTAACGGAACCAGCCCGCTGGCGGCAACGGCTGCCGCTCGGACTGCGGACCGCGGCGCGAGGGCCGGGCGCCGGGAGGGCGGGGGTTCCCCGGAGGAGCTGGCCGCCCCGGCGCCCCATTGGGCGCCGCTCCAAACGTGCCCGAGTGGTGACAGGAATAAAGTGGGTCACAAGGCCTAGCGGGTCCCCAGCGAAAGCTTTCTCGGCACCCAGTCCCCGGCATTCCCCGCCTCCCAGCTGCTGAAATGGGCCGCAGCTCTGGGCGCCCTCAAGCCACCCTGCCCCGCCTGCACCCCAATCCCGCCCCTGCCCCGCAGGTAACCCCAGCTGCCCCAGAGGGCCTCTCAGGAAGGGCGGGCCTCCACCCCAAGTCCCGGGAAAAGACACGCTAGAAAGAGACGCCGAACTTGGGCTTCAGCTCCCGCCTTCCCCACCGTTGGCCGCCGCCCCCCGGCCCCACACACACCGCCCCCCGCTCCCTCCCCTTCCTCGCGCCCTCACCTTGTAGCTTGCGGCAGCTCCGGCTTCTTCCCTCCCCCACCCAGGTCTCTCGCTGCGGTGACTCGGAACCACTACCCTGCCTGTGTGCAGGAGGCGGCGCGGCTCCCACCTCCAGCAGCACCTGGGGCTGTGAGTGGCTCCCCCCACCTACCCCCCCCCCAAAATTCGCCGCTACTGTGGCCCACTCCTCCTCCCCCTCCCTTCTCTTCCCTTCCTCCACCGGCCGGGAGCGCGCATGCGCCGCCAAGGAAGCCAACCGGCGGACGGCAGGCCCCGGGCCCACCCGGCGGGCTCCACTCACCGGGAGCGCTCGCGGCGGCAGCCAGATTTCCTTCGCGCTCTGGCTCTCCGGGGTTTCCTTTTTTAAACCGGCAGCCGCAGGCCGAGTCCGTGATTGCGCCCCCTCCCGGCGCATGCGTCGTCGGCGACCCCGCGGGCTCCGACAACCAGCGGAGGCTCTGCGCTCGCCCCTCCCCTTACTCTCCCTTTCCCCAGCGCAGCTTGGTGCGCATGCGACTTGCCCCGTTAGGCAGCGCAGAGCCGCGCCAGGGGATCCCGGACGCTCGAAGAGACTCCCGCTCCCTTGGGCTGTAACCTGGCTTTGCAGGCGCCCGGTTCCCTGCCCCGGCCGGGAAGGGCGCCGGTTACTAGAAAGCCGGGGAGGCGGGGCCTGGTTGGGTGGAGGGCGCAGCGGGCCGGCGGAGCGCTAGCCTCAGGTCTTGGAGGCTCTTTGGCTTTCACCCCGTTTGCCCGGGGCGAGGAGGAGGAGGAAGAGCTTCCTGCCGGATGAGGGATCCGGAGGCCAGAAAGGGAACCCGCTCTCCTCCCTTCCAAAGCAAAACACTGCCGACGCCAGGTTACATTTTTCGGGTGTTGGCAAGAGACATTTTCCCCCAGTGGCATCACTCGCGTTTTCTCTCCTGGTGCTGGGAGAGAAGAGTAGGGAAGGCGCTTGGACCGCCAGTGACATCCTCTCCCATCTCCTGGAGGAGCGCGGGTTGGGTTGCTTCTCATTGGTGGGGGGGCTTGGGAGACCAGGCATGCGCCCTGGGCCGGAGGAGGGAAGCGAAAGGAGGTCAGGATGTATTTGCTTATTTGGAGATTTTCCCCTGGCCTTTTATTAAAAACCAAATGGCAGTATAATGGAAGATGGGGAATGAAGCATGGGAAATAAACCAGGACCCTAAATTGCGTGGATTTCCTCGTTGGAACAACGTGTGACTACTACTTATCTTGAGGAAATTACTTGCCTTGGTGTGTTAAGCTATCTTTGGTCCACAGCAGAAACCACATTTCAGCGCTCCTACTGGAAAGAAGATCTTTACAGTCTTAATTCCTAGTGTTTCCTATGTTTTAATGAATGTCCTTTGGATTTGAAGTAGAAGCCATCTTCTTGTTTCAAAAAATACACTTTACTGTTTTGGCTATAAAATCCTCCCTTTAAGATAACATTCACCTCAGTAAACATTTTCAATTCTTGCTGTATGCTCAGGGCAAAAGAACATCAAACTGAAGCACTTATTCAGATCCCTGTTCCTTCACCTGAGGATTCTTCTGTCAGGAGTGGGAAAACATGATTTGTTAATTTACTCCATCATATAGCAGAAGAGATTCTGGTCGACATTTTTTGCCTGTTCAGCATTCATTCCCTATTCTGATAATTTTCTTTGAAGAACTATCCTTTATCCACTGTCAGTCCATTTGGTCTGAGCAGGACACAGAGGGAAAGCATATTTGAGTTTTAATCCTCTGTTGTAAACTACAGTTCCTAAGAAGGGTGTTACCTCTTTATCAGTGGGTTTAAATGTGGGAAATGGAGACCTGGAGCCATCTTTCCACACATGAATTCTAAGAAGGCAACGTGGAAACAAAGCAGATTTGAAGACAGAGGTTTGGCTTAAAGACATGTTTGAGGCCCTGAAACCAATGTGGATTAGATTCCTCTGGAAATTTCAGTTAAACCAGTCAGTAAATTCTTTCATCTGTTTTATTGCTTAAACCAGTGAGAAGTTTTCTTTCACATGGTGTCAAGAGTCCTGGCTGACAAGAGTTAGGTAGCAAGACAGGAGGCAAAGTTAATAATACTGATAAGGTAGGTTGCAGCCAGACAAGAGAGGGTTTGAATGCTTTCCCTAGGATAGGGGTTTGAATTTTATTCTAGAGACACTGATCTCTCCTTACATTCCCCATCATCTAGAACATATATCTTAAAAAATTCCTTTGCCCTTTTTAATGATTTCATTGTCCTCTCAGTCACCAAGACCAAACCATATCCATCTTTGACTCCTCCTTCTCTCGCTCTATTTAATTATTTACCAAGACCTGTTGATAATCCCTCATTTTTCTGCTCAGTCCTCTCTCACTGCTTGAACATTTCCCATGGTTCCATTCACAGCTTCTCCTTTCTCCCCACAGTCTCGCCAAGAAAAAAAAAATGTATTGGATATTTCTTTTTTCTGTATTTATTTTTGAGATAAAGTGTCTTCTGTTGCCAGCTTGAGTACAGTCTCATGATCCCAGCACACTGCAACCTCTGCCTCCCAGGTTCAGGAAATTATTCTGCCTCAGCCTTCCAACTAGCTGTGATTACAGATGCCTACCACCACACCCAGCTAATTTTTGTATTTTTAGTAGAGACAGTGTTCCACTATGTTGGCCAGGCTAGTCTTGAACTCCTGGCTTGAAGTGATCCCCCCATCTCAGCCACCAAAGTGCTGGGATTACAGGCGCAAGCCACTGTGCATGGCCTGTATTGGATATTTCCAATAGCTTTTCCAACTTCCAGATCTCACATTTTCCATAAAACAAAAATCCTGCTTCATAGTTTCATAGATCCTAAATCTATATCCCATAACCTTAAACATAATTTCAGATATTCTGTTCATTTAAACTGAGTATTTCCAACTCCTCTGTCAACTGATTTCCCCCTGTTGGTAGGCAATGTAGCATAGTGGTTAAGAATGCAGAATCAGGAGCTAAACTGCCTGGATTTAAATCATAGCTTCACCATTAATATCTGCATGATTTGAGCAAGTTATTTCTCTGTAATTTCCTCATCTGCAAAATGGGATAATTACAATCCTATCTGATAGCATAATTGAGACTGTGTGTGTGTGTGTGTGTGTGTGTGTGTAAGTGTATTTTATCTAGTACATAAGAAATTCCATAGATATATTGGCTATTCTTGTCAATGATATTCCTTTTTGGGTAATTTTCATGTCTCTTGCTCTAATTATTGCCCTAACTTCTGTGTTCTATCAGTCACAAAGTTGTATCTATTCTTTCCTAATAACTCTCTCATCCATTCATTGATATTCCTAGTTTTACTACCATAATTTAGGGTGAATTGGAGAACAGGAAGCTTTAAAATATTCTTAATAGGGACTAAAGGTTAAGTATTTTATTAAAGCTTGCATAGTTTATTCAGTTACTCATATTCTTCCTTGTCCCTTTAAAACAGAACTACAAAACCCTGCCCCATAGTTGAGGTGGTATTATAGACTTTGTGGTCAAAACTCTTGGCTTAAATTCTGACTAATGCTGAGAGACAGTGAGCACGTCAGGTAATTCCTCTGAGCTTCAGGTACTTATCTGTAAAGTTACAAGAATAAGCATTTAGAGAGCTGTGATGCTCAAAGGTAAATTAAACTGCTCTGTAAAAGTTAGGTGGTGATGATGGTGGTTGGAGATCTTTACTATTTCTTGTTAGAACCCTAGGAAGAGTTGAAATGACTCACAAATTTTTAACTCCAGCCTTTACTTCTCCCTTGGGCTGTATACACACATGTCCAGTTATCTACCTGATGTCTCTTCTGTATCACATATATTTTGGATACCCCCTTCAATTTATTATCCGCAAAGCAGCCAAATTATTTTGAAAATAAAAATGAAGTCATGTTATTTTCTTCAAAAACCCTTTTTATCATTTTCCATTACATACAAATTCCTAATTATGGTCACAATAACCTGTTTGATCTGGCCCTTCCCTACCTCTCCATATCTTACTATTTTTGCTGCCTTTCAGTTCCTTGCTAATTTCTCTGTGCTCTCAGGCTTTCATGCATACTGTGCCCTCTCCCGAACTCTTCGTACCTTTTCTCATGGCTGGCTCCTTCTCAACCTTCATATCTCAAAGATCTAACTACAAGGAGGTCTCCTTCCTGCCCCCCACCACATAGTATCCACAGTTATTCTCTTCTATCATGTTCAGTTTCCCCCATAATACTTACAAGTTTAAATTATGTATGTACTTGTTTGGCATTTGTTTTCTTATTAACTATTTTTTCTACCACCACGTGGTAAACTCCAGAAGGGCAAGAACCATGTGTTTTCTTTGCCACTGTATGTGTAGCATCCATTTCAATGCCAGAGGTGAGCTGGGTACAGTGGCACATATCTGTAGTTCCAGCTGAGGTGGAAGGATTGCTTGAGCTCAGGAGTTCAGGTATAGCCTGGGCAATATAGCAAGAACCCATCACTAAAATAAATTATTAAAATTTAAAAATAAAAACCAGGCCAGGCGTGATGGCTCACACCTGTAATCCCAGCACTTTGGGAGGCCAAGGCAGGTGGATCACTTGAGGTCAGGAGTTTTAAGACCAGCCTGGCCAACATAGTGAAACCCCATCTCTACTAAAAGTACAAAAACATTGGCCAAGTATGATGGTGCACATTTGTCGTCCTAGCTACCTGGGAGGCTAAGGCAAAAGAATCACTTGAACCTGGGAGGCGGAGGCTGCAGTGAGCCCAGGTCGTGCTGCTGCACTCCAACCTGGGTGACACAGTGAGTCAGTCTTAAAACAAAACAAAACAAAAAAACACCAATGCTTGAGGTGAATGAATGATATAATGAAGGAATGAAATGCCAGAAAGGAGATTTTTAGGATAATCTTTATCCTAAATTATGACTGCAGGCAGATTATTGTCAAGGGGTAGCCTTAGTAATGTGCATGAAAATACAAAGGAGAAACAAACTAAAATCAGTTAGTGAAATATGATGTGGCTAATACTGTTCTAGTGATTGAATACTTGAGAACCCACAAGAATAGATACAGCTACTACCTGTATAAGAAGATGCTGGTTGAAATCTAAAATAGGGAACAAGAGCATGAAGTACCTCACCTGCAAAAGAGCTGCCAGCTTTTGGGGTCAGATACCCACTCTTTCACCCAAGGATAAAAGTTGGACAAAAAGGGATCTACCATATGCAAAACCTCCAACTCTCTACCCTCATACCATATAAGCCCAACACTTGGGAAGAGGAAAAACACCTGAGAGAATCGCTAAAGCCAGGTTCCTGGGGAGTGTTATGGCTTTTCCTTTCCTTTTTATGCCTCACCCTACCCCAAGTGAACAAGGCTCCAGCCGAATCAGCTAGGTGACTGTGAGAGAGGGAAAGCAGTATCTCATGCACTAGCAAACTTGTTGATATTGCCTTGTACCTACGTGAAACAGGAGTTGGAGAAATAGCTGGCCAGCGAGTGGGCTGAAATAGAGCAATCTACAACATTTACCATTTGGCATAGCAAGGATACCAAAGATGTGTAAGTTTCTCATGGGTTAATTGATGCTATGTAGAAAGTGCTGTCTAGGTTTGAACCATCTTGACACCAAGGGGGAAAGAAATTCTAGCAGCAAGAGGCTGGATTTACTGCTGGGAGAGGAAACTAAGAGTAAGTAGAGATAGAGCTACAACTGGTGCATCTCCCATGTCGATTGTGGGACTGTGTAGTTGGGAAGCTGTCTCAGAGTTTCTAGAACTCAATGTGCCCCATTAAAGAGTGAGTGAACATTTGGATGCATCATTCATTGTACAGTTAAGGGAAATTTATCCATTTTATCTCTATTTTCTCTCCCAGTCCCCAACACTAGAGGGATAGACCCTGAAAGTGTTACTGGTAGAGGGTCATGACTGCATGTTGTCCAAGTTTTTGGCATTTTGAACAAAGAATTGGACAAAATTCTCAGTAAAGCAAA